GTTCATGGGGTCACGAAGAGTCGGACACGACTTAACGACTAAACAACAACAAAATCAACAGTAAAGGAACCAGTTGTCAAGAAATACACTGCAGACTAGTACTTGGGAGAGTGGTGTGAAGGCCTTGGAAGAGATCTTCAGATGCTGTGATGTGTCTATACCTACAAAGATCAGAATCGTGCAAGCCGTGGTATTCCTTGTCACACTCTTTGGAAATGAATGTTGGACCTTGAAGAAGCAGGATAGGAAGAGTATTGACACTTTTTAAATAAGAACTTTATTATATTATATTATATTATATTATATTATATTATATTATATTATATTATATTATTTACAAAGTACAGTTAAAAACAGAACAGAGAAAACAGTAAAGATAGAAAATAGAACTAAAAGAAAAAAGACAAAAACTAAAATAGTGAAGATAGAAAGATAGAACGGAAAATGACTTCCGACTATCTTCCATACAGATATAAATACAAATTAGAAAAAAGTTAATCTTTTACCAAAGATTAATTAATCCAAATTCTCATTATTTCTATCAACACAAACCACCTAATTATTAAGACCCACAATCAAAACTTGCATTTTTTTCCACACAAGCATGTAATCAAAGGAAGAGTATTGACACTTTTGAGCTTTGGAGACTCTTGAGAACTCCATGGATAGCCAAGAAAAGAGACAAATGGATCATCAAACACGTCAACCCAGAGTTCTCACTCAAGGCAGAAATGACCATGCTCAAATGATCCTACTTCAGACACATTACACAAAGATCTTCCTTGTTTTCAACCGGGTTGTGTTCACACAAATGCTTAACCTTCTTGCTGAGTGGAACCATTTTCTGAACCATTAACTGGGTTTGTACTGTCACTCATCCAGCTGAACCACACACACATAATTAACCTAAGATCTTTGCTTGACCTGTCGAAATGTGTTGTGTGAACTCTGCTCTTGAACTGCTACCAAGATCCCTCCTAAAGTGAATTTTGTAATGAATATCAGGGGTGGGAGAGTCCTCTTTAAGGGGGCTCCTTCTTAACTGGGGAATTTCAAAGGGAAACCAGTTTTCCTTTTTGGCTAGGTTATCAATAGGATTTACTGAATGTGAACACACAGATGAAGCTTACAATGGATTTCAAGGAAATAAAAGAACTTTGATAAAACTGTCTCCTACATCAGTGGGGAATGACAAAGCAATTCAGCTGGACGTCATCAAGTGATATATTTTTAGAATTTAGACGGTGCTTACGATGAGAGATACACACTGTGAGGATTATTCTGAGTTGTTGACATCCACATGGGCGAAGTAGATTTTGGTGCAATTCAAGTTTTCCTTTAGCCTCAAGCTGAAATGAAAGCAGTAAGAACACTAAGCCTAGGAACATGGTCTCCTAGTAATATCAACCATGGGAAAATATTCCAGGATAGTCCAGCCGACCAGGGAACAGAGGTATGTGAGTTTTAAATTGGATCTCTCTGGAATCTGACATGCCCCATTTCGAAGCCACAACACCTGTTCCAAGTGCCTCGATCATTTTGGAAGTGGGATGAACTCAGAACAGTCCTCTTTCAAGTTTGAAATGCTCTGAGCTGAAGCCCCTTCCAGAATGGTTGAAATAATCCATTTCATGCTCAGGAGAGCTGTTTTGAAATTTGCCGTCAAAACAAGACATTACAACCTTGGGACAGACACGTAATCTGAAAACTGATTCAAATTCCATATGTTTTGTTGTCCCTACAAGAAGGTATCTTGGTTATAATTAATTTTAACCTGATTCAAGGCACAAGGCGTGGGGTTTTTTTGTTTGTTGTTTGCAGTTGTTACTGGAATTTTCAAGTAAACAGTGTGTCTGATGTGTCCCATAATAAAGCAATTAAACAAAGTCAGTTTCTTTGCCACCAAAAGGCATGAATGGGAACATGAGAAGACTTATCAAGCTTGAGTTAGTCAGATCATAAACAACTTGCATTCTTCAAAGAAAGACCTATGGACCTATGAATTCCATGGGCTTACTCCAAGGAAAGCCAGGTATTCAATAACAGTCCAAAAATTCCCTTTGAATATCTGTGCAGATTTGGGAATGGTTCCCCTTCTCTGCAGGGCCAATTGTAGATACGGCTGCAGTAGATTTGTGTTTCCTAATGTTGGAGGCCACGATGAATCGGATTGCTCTTCAACCTTCCTTGCTCTCTTATTTCAGGTCTGCGAAGTTCAGAATGAGACCGAAATGGTCTGCCAAGCTCCAGCATTAACCGTTGACCCTAATAACCAGTCTGATCTCACGGAACGGCCAGATGAGTTTGGCTTCATCTTGGACAACGTCTACTCCTTGCTGATCCTCAATAAGACCAACTTCACCTATTATCCAAACCCTGTCTTTGAGGCTTTCAGTCCCCCCGGGATTTTGGAACTGAAACCAGGAACCCCTGTGATATTGAAGGTACGGAGGCAGGATGATGCAATGTGCAAATTCTTTCCAAATTTTTCACAGCAAGCAAATTCTGGCCGAGCAGGTAGGGGAGGGAAAAAAAAGGAAATTCAGGGGAATTTGCTTCTCCCCATCTTTTATTTATTTATTTAAATGTATTGGCCACCCAACTTCAGTGGGCTCAGTGGGGTACTAATAGACGTTTATTGAACCAGGAGTGATTCTATATGTCTCTTTTCAACAGGAAATGCTATTCCTTGCTGGAATATCTGACGCATTGTCTGTTCTAAGCTGCCATTCCAAAGTTTATATTGGGGGGAGGCATAGGAAACTACCCCTTTCTTCCAATTTCCTTTGACTCCTGGATACAGCACTTCCACCCCTCTGGTTTCTCTTGGCCTAGGGGAAGAA